TCCCCCCGGAGGGTGACGGAGTACTGGAACAGGCTGCCCAGGGAGGTTGTGGAGTCTCCTTCTCTGGAGATATTCAAGCCCCGCCTGGACAAGTTCCTGTGCAGCCTGCTGTAGGAGACCCTGCTTTGGCAGGGGGGTTGGACTACATGACCCACAGAGTTCCCTTCCAACCCCGAACATTCTGTGATTCTGTGACAGATGCTCCAATCCCCTCATCATCATTGTAGCCCTCCTCTGGACTCTCTTCATTAGCCCAGAACTGGACCCAGTACATAGAGATGTCTTTATTTGTAATCATTGTTATATGATCAAAATTAGAAAAGATATTGATACTTGTACATATTAGTATTAACAGGAATTGTAGGTCCAAAAGAAGGACTACCTTCTGCAGGAAACTAGGAAATGCATAGTATACTTTGTTTACTGTAATACTAAATAGGTGTTGCCTGTGACTAAGGAAAGTGGTTTTATATCCTTCTAAAAGAGCTCCCATTTAAAAGAGACCTTTTGGTCACCACTGAGAACCTTTGTCGTAATGAATGTATCAATGTGTTTGTTTATTTATTTATTTATTTGCTCTTGAAGTACAATGAGTCTGTCTTTATTTCTTTGTTTAGAGAGAACTGATCAGTCCAGGACAAAATTAATTAGTACCAAACTTCCTTTCTAGGAGTGTTCTCTCTAGAGACAAGACACCTCTAATTTTCTATATATCTGGGAGGACTTTGAATAGCAATTTTGGTATGTGTTCATGGAATACTTTTTATAGCAGAACTTTGTTTACTTCAAAGGATCCTTTCTTCTCCTCAAAGACTTTTCCAGCTTCTTTTCTCTGAAGTTCTCCTTTGTATCTAGTTTACACTTTTGCATTACCTTCTTTCAAGTTCTACCAGGTTCCACCTCTACATATTTCAGTTTTCCACGATATTCTGCGCACTTCAGCATATATATACTAGAAATGAGAAAAAAAGAAAATCATTGTACATAAACTTTGCTATAATCTCTAGGATCTTAAAATACATAAAGATAAACATATCAACCACTCAGACATTAATTGTTAGTTTTCAGTCACTTGGTCTTTAATTCTTATCTTAACTTCAAGATTTGTAGAACTTGTACACAGCATTGGTAAAACACCTATCCTGTGAAGTTATTGACAGAGAGATAGGAAATAGGACCTGTCATAGTAAATGTAAGTTTTACATGTATCACTCTATACTTTCTGTTTCTAAAATGGCTGTTTATCCTCCAACTGCACAACTGTGACATCCAAATGTGTTCTAATGGAAGCACAATAGTCCTACCCAGCACAAGGAGGACATGGAACTGTTCGAGTAGGTCCAGAGGAGGGCCACAAAAACGATCCAAGGGCTGGAGCACCTCTCCTAGGAGGAAAGGCTGAGAAAGTTGGGGTTATTCAGCCTGGAGAAGAGAAGGCTGCAGGGACACTTTATTGCGGCCTTTCAGTACTTAAAGGGGGCTTAGAAGAAAAATGGGGACAAACTTCTCAGCAGGGCTTGTTGCTATAGGACAAGGAGTAATGGCTGTAAACTAAAAGAGGGTAGATTTAGACTAGATCTAAGGAAGAAATTTTTTACCATGAGGATGGTGAAACACTGGAACCCGTTGTCCAGAGAGGTGGTCGATGCCCCACCCCTGGAGGCATTCAAGGCCAGGCTGGATGGGGCTCTGAGCAACCTGGTCCAGTTGAAGATGTCCCTGCTCACTGCAGGGAGGCTGGGCTAGATGACCTCTAAAGGTCCCTTCCAACCCAAACCATTCTATGATTCTATGATTTCGATCAGCTAGATTTTCAGGAAAAAACTTTGGAAAAAAAATTGCAACAAGTCAATTTTTGTCCTATTTCTTTCTAAACACTCCTAAAAAGACTGAAAATCAAAATCCAGACAGTGCTATGATGTTTAATTTCATGGTTTTTTTTACTAAGAACATTTATTTACAGCAACAGTATAGTGGGAGTTTATTATGGGAGACTACTTCAAAAAGCTTACAGTTTTGATGAAACACGAAATAGATACAATGTACAGACAGAGTAGGAAGGAGAAAAGGTAAAGGATAACTGTGCAGTCGTATTTCCAACAGTGTGAACCTTCAGTATTTGGCAGTTTTGAAATACATTAACAAGAAAGGCTTAAATTCAGTCAGTTCTTCTTTCTATCAGCCTACTAATTTAAAAGATGTTTATTTATTAAAAGTGCATATGCATGTTACTGCTGATCATTACAAAGAAAACAGAGGAATTTATACAGGATAGGTACTAGATTTTTATTTAAATAGAAGACCTTTCAAAATACACAATACCATGTCAGCAACTCTCTTCTAAGTGTTAGGTTTTGTCATTGCTCTTCATGTCAAATTGTCATAATACGCCTGTCATTGCCTCTTTCAATTAACCTTTAAAACTCAGTCTGAGAATTATGCAAGGAATAAAGTTTAAACAGAATCCTTACATTTAGCAATACTGTCCAATAGCAGTCATTCTCTCTTGGTGTTGAAATTGTCTGTGTGTGAAGAGTTCTCCAGTGATTCATAATAGCTGGATTACTTTCCACTTACCAAACCCTTTGGCAGTAGCTTATTGTCACAGCCAGGTCTCTGATAACTTACTAATTCTATATTCCCTAGAAAGTATATATTTTTTTCTGTGATTTACAGTTGTTCACCGTTATACTGTAATCAAGGAGCTAATTTTTCTTCCATCTTGCATAATCTTTACAAGGAATCCTTGCAGTAGCTGTGGAAGGTGGAGGATGGTACTTTAAATCACAATAAAATATTTAATATTGAACATTCACCGTGAAATGTAGGTCACTGGAACAAGCTCCCCAGGGAAGCGGTCACAGTCCTGAGCCTGTCAGAGTTCAAGGAATGTCTGGACAATGCTCTTATTCATATGGTTTAGTTTTAGGTAGTCCTGAAAGCAGCAGGGAGTTGGACTCGATGATTCTTATGGGTTCCTTCCAACTCATGATATTCTATGATTGACTTATACCATGTGTCTGAAATCTGTACCTACAGCCTTCTCTACTTCTTTCCTCTATCCTATAATTTCTCCATTCAGGATGTATGCTTTTGGGGCAGGGACCATTCACTATTCTCTTTATAGGAGGACAACCTATTGTTGACATTCTGTGGATATAGTGGATTTATATGTGAATAAATTTTATATCCCTCAACAAGAAACCACTTCTGACACTTTTCTTGTGATATTCTTTCTCTAGATGGAAAGCATAAATAGGCATGGTTTATTGCCACCATTTCCTTTGTTGTTTAAGCTATAGTCCTGTACTCTTGTCCTTGCTGTTTAAGTATTTTTCTTTTCCAACAAAGCACAGAACCAGTACTATATTCTTGTAAGTTTTCAATGTCTCTTTCTGTGCTTCCATAAAACTGACAAACTTTCATACTGAAACTCCCTTTTCCCTCATCTAGAACTGCCCTTTTGCATTTCCTGTACTTCATGGGCAGCCCCTTATTCTGTATACCACTCTGTACCTCTTATATTTCAATGGTCGATGTCATACCAGGGATGGGAATATTTGGGGTTGTTAAGTACTTCTGAGGTCCCAGCCATGCATGCTAAGACATTGGACAATTCATCTTGATTGGTCAAGTAACATAGGCAGTTTCTGTAAGTTATGTGATGTTAAGTTATTAAATTATTATGAAATATAGTCTTATGTCAAAGATGATACTGGTAACAGAATACCACAAAGAATTTTTCTACTGAAATGACCAAGTGCCATCTTGACTCATTATGATCCTGTGTTATTATCAGTGTTATTATGTCAGTCTTTGACAGTACTAAGACAACTGTATTTCCTACCTTGTTGCAATATTGCTTCTGTGATCTTCAATGTTCTTTGTCTACAGCATTTTTCCCAACATTCTGATAACTGCAAGGCTGTGTCCTTTTTTGTCTCAATTTCTGCATTCCAAGTCACCTGTCTGATTTTTCTTTTAAGGTAAATAATTACAGTTTAGAAGAAGTTACCCATGAAGAGGCAGTAGCGATACTGAAGAACACATCAGATGTAGTGTATCTGAAAGTCGGAAAGCCCACCACCATTTACATGACCGATCCATATGGCCCACCAGATATTACTCACTGTAAGTGACTTCTGCAACTCATTTTGTAGGAGATATTAGTTTGTCAGATGAATGTGGCTTTTTCATATCTTGTCCAAAGTACCCCATTAAAGTTTATGAAACAGCTTGGAAGGTTACAAAAAATGTTCATTTCCATTTACGTATGCCACACTTATGAAATATTGCAAATAATATAACTCTGCTGAAGTATTTTTGCAACAAAAGTAACAATGTAGCTGACGTACTACTGTGCTGATTCCAATTAGCCATTGTCCAGGTGATCAGGCTGAACTGTAACACTTAAGTCAATTACCCTGATAAGTATATGCAAATCTATTTTGAAATGTGATTAGGTTTGCAGACTGGAGTCCTCTGTCAACTGAAAAATCAGAACAAGCAGCAAACCATCTTGTACAAACTTAGTGAAAGCCTGAGAAAAAAACATGTGATATTTGAATAAAATAGTTACTCGGAATGTGAAGATCACTGCTCTACTTGCACAAATTCAGCTGTTTCTGTATTTATGCAATTCCTAAATTATTGTTCCATTTTGCTTTATTCTCATTCTGTCTATTAATTTTATATATATTCACCTGCTATTTTTTCACTGAGGACTAAGGCCTTATTTTTCTTTGCATTCAGTGTACACTCTTGTAGAAAATGTTCTTGGAACAATATAGTAAAGCTCAGGTCGGGACCTCATAGAAGGGGAAGATGATTTTATTTTCTAACAAGTTGATTTCAGTCAGACTGTCATATCCATGCACTCAAAATCATCTAGGCTCATGTCCAGCATTCAGGTAGAAAGACATGCATCCAGGTGCATTGCCAGGACTCCCCGAGCTGACCAACTAGAAGGTTGGGTGGCTGTGGAGTCCTTATTATACACATATACCTTCTTCTTGGGTTGACAACCTCCTTGCTGATGTGATTTTTGTACCTTTAAGGAGATGACAGCAATTAGGATCTTCTGTCTCTCCCATCTGTCCCACCTACGCATGTCTTCAGGATTTACTCACTTCTCTTTGTCTCCTTATCTGAGTGTCCTAGGCTCCAATTTAGTCTTTATCATTTGCCGTCATCTCCTAATGTCTTGAATCTTTGTTTTAATTTGGGTGTAGGCTGCCCTGAGAAGTTACTTGTAGTTATGTTGAGTATTGATGACCTATTGATGAACCTAGGTGCTATCAATACACACCATCCTTGTACCTCTCCTGCCAGTCCTCCTGGTGTCCATACCCAGGCATTCCCATTCCCTTTTCATTCACAGCAATCTTAACGTTTCAGCTGCAGTGCTCTATGCCACTGGCGCCTGTTAGTCTAAAGAGTTCACTACCGAAATTCCCTTCCTTCATTTAGTTGTTCATTAAAATATCTGCCTTGGGTTCAACTACCAACAGGGACCAGCTGCACCATCTAACAATTGGATGGCAATTTAAATTTTGACAAGAGCTTCAGCAACTGATCCATACCTGTCTTGGTCTCCTGCCAATAATCTCAGGGGCACCCAAAGCCAACCAAAGGCTGGGAAAAGCAGATTTTCCCAGTAAACGCTAGAGATTTAAATTTTTCTGCACTTTTGCGTAGTTTGCTACTGTGGACTGAAAAAGTTGAAGGAAAAGCTAAATATCCATAATCCTCATTGTTCAGACTGGTCCATAAAAATAGAAGGGAATGTTTTGTAACATGAGCATCAGGTGGTATACTCAACTGTGCTGAGGATACCTATTTAGTTAGCAAATGTTACAACAGATGGCAGTCATGTTGTTCAGTAGCAGTCTGGTCTGGATCTTACCAAAGCCCATGAAGTAAAAATGTTAAATGTCCCTATCCGATCTCCTGCTTTATAATACTTTCCAAAATAATAGTTTGGGATTTCTAAAGCAGTGTGTTATATTATATCAGATTATAGATCAGCAGCATATGAGAAGACAGAAGTAATTTCAGAGGGAGAGTAAAGGTTGAAAAGATTTGCAGTAGCCCATCCCAGGCTGTTGGTGCCTACAGATTCATTTATCCTCAGGGAACTTTTCATTATACCTACACATTGCAGAATGGGTAATGGCCTTTCCCTGTAGACATATTTTGCTTTGAAACATTCTGTATCTCAGCATCTGAAAGACTGACTGAATACTAGAAAGTTTAGTGATCTTCTCATAAGAAAATTAATCATAGCTCACTGCAGAAGCACATATCATTGTTTTTCCTATTTATCATTTCCTTTTTTAATTACATTAACTAGAGATTTGAATACCACTATTATTACATCTCTACAGGCATAAATATCCCCATTAACTTCAGAATAGCAAAAAGCAAGCGAACAACAAAACACACAGACCCAAGATAGAATCAAGTAGCATAGTCCTGCAATTTTCATTATTAATCATAAATATGTAAGACATTTGTATTCACTTTCTATTTTAAATAGAGATTTACTGTGATCTAAATACCGTCTATGTTGGTATTGAAATTTCAATTACATTCGGGATTTTGGCACCTTTAGTAGATCATTGCTTTAAATCTCCACCATGCATAATTCTTGATTTACATAAAACTTCTGCTCTTATCCTGCATTGAGCTCTTACTATATTACTGCCATTTGTGTATACTGGAGCCAAAATGAGCAGTGTGCTTTTAATCTCATTCTCTCCTGTTTACATTTCCTTCTTCAAGTCAGTCTTAGTGCAAGAAAATATTTCCTATCTCCCAAACTATCCTTTCTTATTCAGATCCCTTCTGAAGAATCATTCCCTGCAAATGAGCATAATTATTATTTTTTTAATTTTTTTTTGTATTATTATTAACCTTTCAGGAAAACGTCAGTTGTTCATTCTCTCTTGTTACATTTGAAAGTCTCTCAGGCAAGGACTGTCTGTTTTGATGTTATTTACACCAATGAGCATGTTCTTGGTACTTAACTAAAAAGAGGTGCTCTTGTAACATCTAATCAAACATGAAAGTGGCTAACTAGAGGTGCTTATTCTTACCAACAGCTTATTCTCCACCGATGGAAAATCACATACTCTCTTCTGGAAACAATGGCACTTTAGAGTACAAGGCATCCCTGGCCCCTATCTCACCGGGAAGATACTCACCCATTCCAAAGCACATGCTTGTGGAGGACGACTACACCAGGTCAGATGCTTCTCTATTTCTTATCTTTCACTACAATTACAAAGGTCATAACTAAAGCATTGAGAGCACCTCCAATAGAATATGGCATATAGTTCTTTTCACCCACGTTCAAGCGAAGATGAATTGAAACTGTTACAGGTATGAAGACAACTAAGAGAAAGATCACATGCGTGAACGCTGACCTGAGGTCCATGTTGTCTGGGTGCAATCCTTCACCACTTCCTGAACAACATGGCTGCACTAGAGCAATGCTGGCACCAAGCAAAATTTTCTGCTTCTTAACCGGCGTATTAGCTGTGACAGCTGCTTACTAGCACAACTAGGAGATGTCAGGATCAGTGACTCATCTGGCTCGCTGCATCTATGGGTGGAGTGACCGTACGTGCACTGGTACCTGCCCATGACGGTACGCTTTGAGAGGTCCAGCTTGTTTAGTTGAGTGAAAGCGAGGCTGAAATAGCCTGTAATAGCTCTGTGTACACAAGTTGAAAGACAAATGTTATGGAGAGCAAACACTATTGGAGAAGAAAAAAAGCATTTATACTCGCTGAAAATAAATACAGGAGGGGAACTGGGAAAAGTTTCTTAACCATTAGAGCAATCGTAATTTAAAACAGCTTTCTGTGAGAGCTGCAGTGGCACTCGATACCTTTATGAAAGGGGTTCTTTGATGTGATTGTCAGAAAAATGACCCTGGAAATTGCTTGTAATCCTTTTTTTTTTTAAATGATCCCAAAAGAATTGAGACTGCTATATGGAACTATGGTAGCAGAATTTTATCTCTGATGTAGCTGATTTCCAGGTAGAAAAGACACATAAAAAAATGCTGGGAGTGTTCTTTTGTGCCTTGTGTCAGATCAACACTGAATGTCACTGATGAGACAGTGTGTATTTATCTTTTTGTTTGAAGAGCGCTACCATTCACTTAGCAGGCAACAGTTGTTAAGTTTGTAAAATGAGCCCTCATTATAATGGCTAGTGCCACAGAAAATGAGAAATCAATTTTTTTCTGTGCTTCAGTGTTTATAAATTCATAGTGTTTAAAGCTAGGAGGGGGTTGTTCCGATCATCTAACCTGACCTACTGTGTATCTCATGCCAAAGAATCTCATCCAATTATGTATTCATCAGCTTCATAACTTGCTAATTTACATTTCTTGTTTCTTGTTGCATATGATTATGATCTTAAGCTGCTTAACTTGTTGGATCAGACAGGTTCAGAGTAACTAAATCATGATACAGTGGTTAATCAGGACATAAATATACGGAAACCACACTTTGCTTCCTTGTTTTGGTGAAAAGATTTTTTCCTTTGTTTTGATGGAGGGTGCAAAGCTGACATTGCTTTCTTCTACTTATGAGACATCATATTAGAATGAATTTTCTCCAAACGGTTCCAAGAAGTTAAATTTTTTAATTAATAGTTAAAACAATGTTTTCATTAAATTGTGCATCAAGGCTTTTTCTGGGCTAGTACTGACCTCATAATTTCTAAAATGCATATGTATAGGAAGTACAATATCTGGGTTACAGTGACGAAGGCTTTGTCAATAAGTCGTGTTGAATTCTCACCTTCTGTGATGAGATTTCAGTGCCATTATTACTGAGAAAACGTTGGTAAAGTTTAATAACATCTAAAAAATGCAACCTTAAAAGTAAATAATAGCTAAGGAGACCAAGCAGTCACAGAAAGGGAAGGAAATAAAAAGGAGAAAAGCTGCCCTGAAAATTATAAGACCTTTTAAACAGTTAGACCTGTAAGATAATGAATCTTTAGACAGTCTTGTGTTTTTCTGTGTTCCATGTAGCTGATTTTAACTTTCTAATTACTTCTATCAAGAAAAAAAAGAAAAAAAAATTTAAAAAAAGAAAAAATAGTCATAAAAGAGAAGGCAATGACAGTCCTAGGCCATTAGTTTGGTAGGTATCCAGTAGAAAGCCTGCTTGCTCAAAGAACCATGCAGGATCTATACTGAAATTAATTAGTATGTCTTTTTGATCTTTTTGGGAAGAAGGATGTGTTCCTATCCTGATATTTTTAGTTTGTTTTTAAACAAGTTAATTTTGCTGGTTTAGCTCCTGAGGGTAAAACCAGATACTGACACAGTCTGGTTCTTGACAGTGGTATTCACACCAATGTCCATTTTGTATAATTTGGAGAAAAAAACTGAATACCCAGAGGAGCTGTGTATATTCTGTGAAATATTCCTCTCCTATGTTGTATTTCCTATCTAGATTCCCAAATTAGTGTGTTGTCTAATGAATGTCTGCTATCCAAAGTCTTCTGTGGTATTGGTGTTATGGGCAGGGGAGGCTGACTCTACAAACTTGACATTCTGTGGAAGGCCTGGGGCGCTGGCAGAAATAAAGGTGTTGAGTAATAGGAGCAGACTCTGAATGCAACAGAGCAAATCAGATGAAAATCTCATAGTTCTAAACAAGTGTTTACTTCGATCCATTGAAAAAGAGAAGGCAGTTATGGACTTAATCATATTAGTGATAATAGGTTATATGCTACACTGATACACAGGGTACAAAAGTACAAAGATAAAATGACTGTAGTCATAAAAAAAACTGAAATTCTTTCCATTGCATTTCCTCACTGGACATATATCATACAGCACTACCTGAGAGACACCCAAACAAATGCCAGGAGACCAGGTTTCTCCTCTGACTACAATGACTGAGAAGCTCTAACCTTCAAAACCAACTCATTTAACCCTTTAACAATGCTGAGCTTTTTCTTTTTTTTTAATGTCTATGTAGCTAATTGTTGCTTATTGATTGAAGGGAGACTGTTGAAAATGCCACAGTTAATTCTCACAGTGATTTTCACAGCTGTAAACTGAGAATAGTGAAAATGGAGAACAGTGAATGCACTCTTTCTGTGCAATGCCATAGGATTTGCTCATGAGTCTGTCATTAAAATAAGAAGATATTTGGAAAGTCTTTGTTGATGACCTGTTTAGAAAGACTTAAAATCTTTTGGGAGGTTAATTATCACAGTGATAACTTTAGTGAAACCTATAGATCCCTTGATTGCAGCATTTATAATTAGTTTTCCTCACATAATTTTTTATAATTAAGATAACTGCCAACTACTGCAATGCTATCCATTAAAACTACCTGGTTCTTGCTATAATAGGTTTTCAGGGCTAATTTACATGGTGATCACATAAAAAAATTTATTACCTGTGCAGTCAGAACATGGCAACGCTTTTGGCAGGTTTTCATTTGTGCCAGCTAAAAATATTTTCAACAGTGACTTTTACGCTATAAGAGGCTTTAGCAACTTCGTAATGCTTTGTACACCTGTCCTGAGTGAAGCTGATGACAAGCTTTCTTTTAACTTATGTGCTATAATGAATCTATTGGTAAAGTTTAAGTGGTTGAAGAGTCAACTTAATTCATCCACTTTCTCTTGCTTTTTGTTTTTGTTTTTCTTTTTTGTTCCAGTTCTATTTTTTTTACCTAAATACTTGCATTTTGCCAAATAATAATAATAAGTATTTTTGTTGACAAAAACTTGTATTTTTTGATCTGATACAGAATCTGCATCTAAAAAAAAGATTTGTACAACTTCTACTTAAAAAAACTACGAGGAAAAAATAACTTAATCCAAGGACAAGGGACAGAAAAGTAAGAAATCATTTCCAGCCACAAGTTTTAATGAAGCTGGAAGCTGTCTTTAAATTACTGACCTTTTGTACATTGTGTACATTATTAGTCCAAAATGCTGTCAGTGTTGGGCATAATTTACTTTCTGTTTTGATAGATTCATCTTAAATTCACTCAGAATGGAAGCTTTGCTTTCTTGTATTTTTTATAAAGATTATTACCGTTTAAAATTGAAACAAAATAACAGTTTCAGGTTAGTAGAATGTGGAATCAAAAGAGGATAAATGTTATATGCCAAGTAACTGTATCAATACAATTATCATCATTCTGCAAGTGAGTCCTTATTTGGTTTAGTTTCTAGAAAGATTGAAGTGTTGTGCAGGCAATGCAGGAGTTTCCTTGATTGTTTTGCTGACAATTTCCTAGCACTGCTAGAGGGGAGAATCAGGAATAATTTTCTGTTTGGCCTGCTGCTTGCGAAAAGGGAAGAACTGGGAAACACCGTGATAAATAACAGCCGGGATCAGAGTGACCACTGGTTGGTTCGGTTCATGATTCAAAGGAAGTCTGGAAAGATAGTCAGAAGCTATGACTACAGACTTCAGAAGAGCGGACTTCAGCTTTTTTGGAGAACTGCTAAGCAGTGTCTCTTGGGATGCTGCCACAGAGACGTAGGGTCCATGAAAGATGGATGATTTCTAAATAAAACTTCTTGAGAACTCGGGAATGAAACATTCTGTTGAGTGGGAAGGAGGGGGATTCAGCAGAACGCCTTCTTGGCTGAGCAAATGAGCAAAGAACTTTCTGATGACCTAAAATGCAAGATGTAGACAAACGTTGTTTGACAGCTTAATGACAAAATCAGAAAGCTGATTGATTTGAGCTAAGACTTGCAAGAGACATAAAAGATAACAAAAAGCGTTTCTGCAGGTGTAATTGATACTTTAAAAAATGAAGGTAAAATTTGAAGAAGGGAAAAAATTGATGAATGGAGGGGAAAACAATGTAATGACAGACAGTACAGAAAAAACTGGAGTACTGAACATCATTGCCAGACATTTAAGGGACCAGAAGGTAACTGGGGTAGGTCAGTGTAGATTTACCAAAAGCAAATCATGTGCTTGTCCACCTGTTTGCTTTTCCTGATGAAATGACTAGCTATGTGGATAAGGGCAGAGCAGTGGCTGCCCTGTACCAACCAGTACCACAGCACCGGTGCTGCCTTGATCAGGAATTGTCCCATGCCGTAACTCCCACAAATGTAGATCTGGGATCTGCTGTGGAGCATGTGGGCGTTCCTGTTCTCCTCTAGATGCCATGGGGAGTGCCTGCAAAGCTATTTCTCACACCTCTTCTGTGGGCAGGAGAAGCTGTAACATGGGG